CCTTTGCTCAAGTCCCCTCGGGAAAAGACCGAACAGGGGTTACTTAACGGTTTGCTAGCTACGTAGAGGGCTGACCTGTGAAACTTCAGAAGCGAAGTGGAGCTTGCCAGGTCGCGGAGACTCAGCGACTCTCCTTCGCCATCTTTGCTGCAGCGCTGCTCGCCGAGAAAGCAGATTCTGCTAATTTTCGATCTGGCTCACGATTTGATGCTTACTGGCAAGAACGTTTTTACGGGATAGTGTATAGTGTATATGCATCAAGACATAATAGCATCTTGTGACGCCAACAACCACTTCAGTCTCCACTCACTTCCCGTACATGTGCCAGCTTTATTTTGTCGTGTACCGTGTGCCCGTGTGCGAGTGTAGCTTCTGTCTGCATTCACAAAGTGACCGAAAGGTTTTCTTTCTTCGTCATGGCAAAGCAGCATCACTCAGGTTACGCAGAAGAGCTCCTGCGAGATTGCTCCGGCGCCTTAGTGGAGAAATGATGTCAACGGGATTTTCTGCCGATACGCTGCAGCGATCTCGAATCTAGGTCTCTGCATGAAATCTAGTTCTCGGAGAAGGTAAGGTTAAGCTCTGTTTGCGGAAGCTCCTGCGCCTGAGGTTGTGCCGACTTTCCTTGTGCCGTTGTCGAAGCACAGGCTTTGACTGGGCATGGCCAGGCCCTTAGACTGGCATAACATAGCAGACAGAGCGCTTACTGCACCGCACCACGACGATGCGATGTTGTGCATCCTCCTTGCAGCGCCGGCTGAATTTTGCTATCGATGGCGAGAATTCTGAACCTTGCCTCAGCCACAGCTGCCCCGACCGGAATTCTGAATTTATCGTCGCAGGTCCATCGGGTGCTACCGTTGCGAGTTGCATAGCCCTTTGGAAATGCCTCACCGTCTCAAAACGATCCACGACGAGAATTACGTGACCCGGCCAGGTATGGTCTGTTTGAGACCCATCGTTTGCCCAGGTGCCCTCGACATGCTTCGGGCATTAGCAGCTGCAGGCGCTGGGCGGCAAAGCTGCGAGGTCCCAGACTGGAAGACCCACAGACTTTGCGGAGAGTGATGTTGATGCCTCAAAGTCGCAGGTGCTTGGCCTTGCATTCGTGTTGACGACGGGCAGGGAACGTCGAGGCACTTTTCGATTCCGTTGCCCTCGTGCTTGAGGCTGAAGTTATCGCAAGCTTAAGCCCTCAGGTATGTCTAGGCTCGTGGAGAAGTTGCGAGTTGAGAGGTGCACCTGACCTAGCCGGTGTGTTTTTGGATGCCGTTTTTCGCCGAGGCCTCAGGACTTAAAAGGGTCCGGCTGGTTTTTAGTTTTAGATATTTCGAAATGCTTGGCCTGCCTGGCAGGGTAATTTGTTCTCATCGCTTTCGGACATGCACACCCGGTACGTGGGACTGGTAGCCTTTCTGTGCTGTGCACTCACCAGCAAAGGTTGGGAGTTGCTGCGCTTGCGATGCCCAGATGGCCAGTGCAAGGCCAGCCAAGCAGAACTGGGCCAGGAAAGCTCCGTTGAAGCGCGCAAGATGCAGAAAACGTGGTTCCTGGCTTTGGGCCCTGGGGCCCGTGTTGACGAACCACATATTGCGGCATATTCCAGCACTGGGTTGTGCACTCCTAGTTGTCCCCGAGGGGGGTTGAAACCGTTGCATTAGCACCTGAACAGCATCCTTTTCCCGATTGCTGCAGCCACCGAGCTTATGACCTAGCTTCGCAACAAGAGGCAAAGTACCCTTGCACGCTTTCGCTTCGACCTCCAGCTGTTACCCACTTCTCCGGCGATTGGGAAGGTCCCACAAGGGGGGAAGCTCATCCTCCTCCACTCCACTTAGTTTCGTTTGGGGGAACCGCAACGAAGCGAGTTTCACACCAACGCGGCAAGCATCAAAAGACTGGCGAGTGCTCCACGCGAGGTCGAACAACTGTTTGGGCCTCGGCCTTAGGCGAAAGATAAGGCATGGCCGTATCCATTCAAGGAGTTTCTAGTGAGCCTTCCTAGTGAGAGAAGGAGTGCGGCAACCGAACCAACCGCTTTATGTTGCAGGTGAAAAAGGCGGATCGAATCCTTTCTGAATCATTCTTCAACCTTGCAAAGAAAGCGGCCCAGCGCACACCTTCTTGGGTGCATGCCTAGTCGACTGGGGCTTGGGGAAACCTGGTAATGACCGGGTTCGACAACGCGCATCCAGAGATCTTGCTCAGACGAGAACCCATCCAAACTCGCCTCGTGAAACTACTTGGAACGTTCGCTGCCTGCGCACAGGACGTTGCCAGTTGTCAATGTCTTCAAACAGACGGAGCATCATTCATGTTACCCAAGTTACCCCACTACAACTCGGACTTCAATCCTGAGCCATTCGCCCGATGACTTGGCGGACTTAGCAGGCCAGACAAGCAGTCGACATGCTGTTGACGGCATTGTTCTGCTCTCAGCAGCTGCTGTGTTTGTCTGTCACTCCTTCTATACCGCTGCATAGATTGGACATCAACCTGGAAACTGGCTGCAAGCTCGCGGGCATCATCAGTGAGGAGCCACGGTAGCTAGATCAGGTTTTTAAGTGCTTCAAAATGCTGTCAGTGACGCCCGTGTACAGGCCGTCCAGCAAGCAGAAATCGACCTAGATGCCCTCGTTGAGATGCACACCAATGCATTGCCACGGTCTCGGCAGTCGACAAGTCGACAAGCGTCAATCTGACATAATCTGACTGTCTGCGCAATTGAGATCTGTAGGCTCTGGCGATACGAGGCCGACAAATCCGGCCACTTTCAGCCTTGTGAATCCCAGCTTGGCGGAGGCCGTTGCGAGACGACGGTCAGCTGCAGAGTTCATTCGAGCTCGTGCGACCGCAAGCAGGCAGCCTGACTAGATGGGTTCCAACTGTGCTCTCCCATGATTCTGATGTGACATGGCCGTCAGGCATTGTTCACGTGAGAACTTACCCAGCTCCGCGCCCGGAGTGATGTGGCCAACTTCACTGGAATGAGTTCCTCTTCTTAGGTGGCAGCTCCAGCAATAGAGATCTCGACCGATTAGAAGCATCGATGTCATCCCTGGATGAGACCATCCGCGGGTATGACAAGGCCAGACTTCCGCACCATCACTTGGAGACTGGAGGAGACCAAAACGTAGTTCCTGCCCTGCAGGAGGGTTACACACTGGTTTGCCCACAACTGGCGGTGCTCTTGGTGTTGGTGTGCAGACCCTACGACTTCTCCTAAACAGATTTTTGCTTGCCCAGGTGGGCTTCAAGTGCATGCGGAGGACAGTGCAAGCCAACAATATGTTGAAGAAAATGATGGTTTTTCTAGGACGGAGCTTCCGAGTGGGCATTGGTGGGTGCTGGCACTCAGTCTCATGCTTGGGGAGAATATTGTTTTTGTGGTGACAGCCTGGCCTGGCCCGTTTGCAGGTTCGTTTGGACGGCCCTTTGATGGGACGTCCTGCTTTGGCACCTGCCTGTGGAGCACTTGCTTTAGCCCTATGTGCTTGAGCCGGACGACTGGTGGATGCTCCGAGTGTCTTAGTGGACCTCTTCTGGTGTGCGAAGGGGTCCCGGGGGAGGCGCAAGTCGGGCCAGGCGCCTTGGCAACTGCCGCAAGACTCAAGACCGAAAAGTATTACGCCACGGCCTTCGTTGCCAAGACACTTCCTGATAATGTCACTAGCACCTGGACGGGTGCGGCAACGCGGTGCCCGACCAGGTGAACAGGGGAGATGTGAGCGAATCTGATTGACCTGCTTTCGTCGGCCTGCACAAAGATGACGAAGGTTTGTTAGACGACAGTTAGATCGAAACCAGGTCATCCGCACAGCTCCTCCAAACTCGGGTAGGACAGCAAGAACCATTCTTGTGAAAACCCAAGTGCGGAGCAGCGGCTTCAGGGATATCCTCCCAAAGACAAGCCAGCACAGTCGCCGGTATCAAGCATATACAGGGTGGTACGGATATTCATGATGTAGGATGATCGTGGAGTGGTGGGCGAAGGCATTTCTAGGAGAGAGCATGTCGTGGGACGGTAGGCAAGAGTATGTATTTGTGGAATATGAGATGTTCCCTGCATGTGCCGCTTTGCTGATGTTCCAAAGGCGAAACTCATCCGTTTTTAAAGATGATTTTCGACCGATCTTGCATGAAGGATCCGTGCGAGGCTCATGTACATAGCACCGTGGTTGGGAAGTGGTTGGGGAGGTGTGCATGTGTTGCACCCGGCATGGCAACGAAAGTTTGGATGGCTGTGTATGTTGCGAAGTGGATGAAGACTCGTAAGTATTGCGAGGGCTGCATGCTCTGTGCCACACCCGCAAGAGCTCACGGCTGAATTACTCGAAACAAAAAACTCCGCGCATCACAGCTGACACTCGTATCCACTGACCATAGTTCTGTGCTTGTGGTGGCTCGTTTTGGGTTCAAACTAGTCGCGTTTGCCGTGACTGAGAAGTTTGCTCGCTTTTCCTCCGCCATCAAAAGCTTGTTTCTGCAGTAGAACATCACAGGCAGATTCGCAGCTGCATTTTTGAAGTGCAACCTGCTGTTGTGCCAGACTATGACTTTGCGTACAAGTTTTCGGCTATCCAGCAGTAGTACTGCATAGAAGAAGGGGCGGGTCAGGTCTGAACATTCTTCAAAGCAGCTTGCTTTAAGGCTTAAAGGTGTGGAGCCTGCCATGGGCTTGGGCAGAGCCGTGAAGCCCGGCATGGACTGAAGACAACATGTCCGAATCCGAGCATCAAGCCGCTGCTGGCAGGCACGAGTGGACGAGGATGTAAGATCCAGCCCTCAAAGCATGCCTCTACAGTAAACTACCCATAAGTACCGCTGAAACACAGCCTAGCTGCCCAGTTGTGTTTGCTGAGACCCTTAGGCCCAAGCCGAAGAGTGCTGAGATAAGGGAAAGTTCAGCTTGTGACTCCGCAGAGAAGAGCAGGAGCTGAGGAGTCGTTTCTGACTAACATAGCTTGTCGCTTTCTTGTCAGCTGGACTATTGCTGTTTTTGGTGGTCTTCATTACTATGATCGTGCTCAAGAGGTGACTGGGTGAGTCAGAGTGAAAGGAGACTCACCGCACCCGTCTTTTGCAAGTCATGATGTATGTAGCCATCATGCCAAAGTTGATTCGGGATGTAGTCCGGTGGAAGCTGAGCTTTAGCCAGATTCCGCATCGAGCCCTAACTATACTGAAGTTTGTCGTTTGATGTTGTAGAAGGCCAGCTGATGTGCTTTGCAGGGCGACGGCTGCCAGCCGGGCAGCTGGTGATCTGGTGATACAATCCCTTGCACCGTGAGCTTATGAAGCTGCAAACGCCAATCTCCGTAAATGCCTATAAGCCAGGGTTCCCTATAGGTCCCTGAATTTCTGAATGCCTTTTACACACCTCGGCAAGACCCTGACTTCGACTCGGCCCTCGAAAGAAGGGATCCGTCCCGTGGCCAGGGCTGCCTCAGAGCTGGCTTCCGTCCTGAGCCGACGTCGTCAGGAGGTGGACACCAAGGGCGCCTTTTTTACGAAGGACCGAAAAGGCCGGAGCCGGAGTCAATCCACATCAACATTGCTCTTCATTTCTTGCTTATCGATGTTTTCCGATGACGTGTTGATTCTCGGCTTGCGAGCGCTGTGTGCACTGTCCAGGCCATGCTGATGCAGTCTGGAACGAGCGGACTGACTCGCAGTTCAGCCCTCGATCCTCGGAGAGGAAGTCCGCTATCGCACGCCTGCAGGGAGCGAGCGTCTCCCCTTATGCATCAAGGGAGGCATCCCCCGCCCCGCAGCCGCCGGAGGATGGCAGACCTAAAGTTCTTCGGCGGATGTCGGCCGATGCCACGATGACAGCGCCCAACGCCCTGTTAGAGGACCGGGCGCGACGAAGTTTCGCACCTGGCAGGGCCTCGACGGGACCAGTGCTCAAAGCCCCGATCCAGCGACTGGGCTCTGCGAGATCAGCATCACCAACTGTGGCGCCCAGCACCAGCAGTGCATCACCACCCAGGACGCAACGACCTCCAAAAGCGAAATCTAAAGCAACACCGAGGCGTTCTGCAAGTGCTGCAACCGAGGCCGCTTTGCCGTCTTCGCGCCAACCACAGCAAAGTCCAGAGCCAGCGCGAACTTCAGCAGCAGCGGCACTCCGGACTGGATCCGCTACCGAGCCCGACCTCTCTAGGCCTTCTGGCAGAGTACCCGCCGAGCATGGAGCAGTGGCAGAGAACATCGCCAAGTTCGAGGTGACGCAGGCTCCACAGAGTGCAGTGGGCAAACTTTGCCCCAAGGTAAGCGGCGATCTCGGCTCGAGCACTCCAAGCGAGGCGGAGGAGGCTGTTCCGGGTGGTGGCGGTTCAGCCTCAAGTCATAGCACCAAGGAAGCCAGCAAGCCTGTCGCAAAGCCTGCCACAAAGCCGGCTAGCAAGCCTAAAGCGGCGAGCAAGTCGGTGTGCAAGCCGAAAGCCAAAGTGGCAGCAAGTGTTGGTGAGGATCCACCACAAAGGGAATCCGCGCAGGAGTCACCCAGGAAAGCAGTGCAACTACCGCGAGAAGCTGTCGAAAAGGCCGAGCAGACTAATGCAAAGGCCAGCTTGAAGGCTCAGTGTGTGCCGTGTCAGGATGCCACCTCGTCCTCGTTGCGACAGGATCCTCAGCTTGGGAGCAAGGAACATCTGGGCATCCGGGCAGACACTGAAATGTCATGGCATGCCATGCCAGCATGACACCATCTGTACCTGTACGTCGTTGCGCTCAACCCATAATATGGTTGAGTCTAAGCAATTTGCCCCTAAGTATGAGCAGTACGAGTGCCATTCCTACAGGGTCTACAGTAGCTCCGAGGTGCCTGCGCCCGATAGCGCTGCTTCTATGTTGAACGGCACGTGAGTAGCCTCAAGCGCACACTCCCTGCTAATCGCGCTATGTGCTGGCGGTACTGAGCTGTGACTGTGTGCCTACCAATTCTTTGACTGCTCGCAAACCCGTCTATGCTGCCATCCTGTCAACGCCGCCGGCACGCTTCGGCAGGAGACAGCAAAAGCGGGTCCGTCTTCGCCACGGTCGCCGTGTTCAGAGTCCAGTGTGGCAACGGCCTGGGCCTATCGTGATGGGGGTGTTTATAGGGGAACACTGGTGGAAGAGGCCGTCAGTGTACCTAACTGCAGACTAGCCAACCAGAAGCCAAGCGCCGCACTCGACCAAGGGCTAAGTTTGTGATCCTGCGGACTCCTAGCTGCCCTTCTGAGTGCACTGACGTGATCGGCAGTCGTTTGGAGCCCAAGGCGAGCACGATCAGCTGTGAGGCCAGTGACATCGACCATGGCCATTGCGCTGTTCTGCACATGGGTCGTGCAAGCAGTCTCTCCACTTTAGGAATCTACGTGCAACTCAGTCATGTCTGAGCTCAAGATGTGATTAGGAGGTATCCGCTAACTTTGTCCCGAGGACACAGACAGCTCCAGAAACAGAGAAAATTGGCTTGCAGGTTTCGTCTTAGCATGCACAGTTCAAGCAATGATGCTGCTGCCCTAGCGCAAGCGCTGGCAGAAATAGCGCAGGACTTTGCATGTCATGATTGTCGGTTGCATGCTGACACATGATGCTACGGCTACGGACACTGTTAGAGCAAGCAGAAGCTTTGGTCTTGGAACAATCAGGCGACGCCGAACCTGACAAGGCATTGGAAACCGGTAAAGGAGCACTGGAAGTTGACACGTGGCCTCGTGTGCTTCTTCCCAGTTTTTTGCATCCCCAGCCTACCAGCATGCAGCCTTTCGAGTGTAAGTGTAGCCATCCAAGCAACGGCATTGTCTATGGCCCTACGTTGATGTCTGAAGATTTTGTGCGATGTTTTCATGTTAAGCCGTTGAATTAACCACAAGTCTACGCTTGGCGCAGAAGGAGGATCCGGTTGGAGCTGCCAGCCTTTTGGGATTGCCTTCTGACAGATCGTCGTTGGCTGCGACTGCAGCCGGCTATGACAGTCAACCAAAGGCCGCGCAACAGCTGACAGCTGGCATGGCTGCTAACTGTTGTACTTCGGATATTGCTTCATGTACAATGATACAGATCAGCGCTCGGTTGCCCTTCATGCTGCAGATGAGCGATCGAGAGACAGAGAGAGAGAGAGAGAGAGAGATGGGCTCCCACTTTCCCTTGTCTGTGCTGAAGAAGAGATGGGGCTCCGCAACAGTCGGGGGCGCCAACGGGGCGCGGGCAGAGGGGGAAACCTCTCTGCCCCTAGCCTTGCCGAAAGAAAGAGATGGGGCCTCCAGTGAGTCCGAAACAACAAACCGAACTCGGACACAGGCGTAGCGCAGCGCTGTGCACAGGGGCCGCAGGGTTTTTCCCCTGTACCCCACGCGCCCTGCAAGCAAGCAAGCAAGCAAGCAATGGGGCCAATGTTGCCGCGCAGAATCAGAATCAAGAAGAGCCATCCTCTCAATATGGGAGCATGGGATGTGACGGCTGGCACGGTACAAATTTCGAAGACCCTTTAGTTGCCTGCACACATTCTTCTAAACATGTTTCTCCACACGAAGAGGGCAATTGAGCCCGGTTGGAACGATTTCTCGGCAACGCATGGATTGTCTACACCATCTTTACGCCCCTGGTGTTACTGCTTGCGTTCGTGGTAGTTCCGGCAGTGCCTCGTGTGATGCCTGCCTTCACAGCAAACTGAGACTGGGCATGCTGGTGTGAACTTGTTTTTCACGGGCATTGCTCAAGAACATGTACTGGGCCAGAGCATCAGTAGCTTGTTTTGGTGATGCATCTCTAATGTAAACTGTAATCAGCACAGATGCCGCCAGAGTGCTCCTGCAAACCTTCAACAGAAACCAGGTTCCCCTCTTCCCCTTGTTGGCCCTTTGAAAGAACCCAAAAGAGATTGGGGCAGATCTAGGCCCCGGGCCACCGGTTGGGCGGGCCGAGGCCCATGAGGCTACTACCTTCAAGCAGTAGGTCAATCGGGAGGCCTACCCATATGGTTTGTCACCACTTGTTTTCCTATTCCGACCGTACCTCGGATTCTTGCTGCCCTGCTGGCGGTGGTGGTGGTCGTCGTCGTAGTAGCAGTAGCAGCGCAGCCGGAGTACAGTAGGAAGACTAGCAGCAGAAGTAGCAGTAGCAGCAGATTAGGAGTACGGTAGGAGGAAGAGTAGCAGCAGTGGTAGTGGTAAGGTACCAGTGGTAGTGACTGGTAGTGGTGGTGACCCCCCCCTACCAACTACACTCCGTCATGGTCGTCAACATCATCATCACCAACATCACGAAACCTCAAACACATTTCATCACCAA